GGACGAAATCTGTTGGATTTGAACTAGAGGAGGGAGGCGTAAAGGCCAATTGCCAACGAGATAGGAGCTGGGATGTTGACATTAGCTTAACGCTCAGGTGTGTGGACAGGTGCAAACGGGGTACGCGATGATATAAGTGGACCTGAGACTTGAAGAAAGGGGATCATCCAATTTGAAGGTTTTTCAGTTCCCGAACCCGACCTACCGTTTATAGGGTTTTCAGACTACAGGCTTAACTTTCTATTTAAGAAAGATCATACATGCATCTGTATACAACCCCTAAAGTTTTGCTATGCAGTTGTGCCACGTTGTTTGCCTCATAAAGGGAATCAACAACACGAGGTTATGTGAAGGGACGTTTTTACGGTTTTGAGAATGTAATAATTGAAAAGTTAGATTGGCAAGCATATGTTTTCAGTCATTAATGATCAGGCCACTACAATGACATGCAGAATGACATAGTGACTTCTCTACAGTTTTCATATGGTACTCGGGGACAGGCTGATGCAAAGACATTGCTCATAGTCTATCCGGAACCCCTCTACTCCCAAACCCAAGATCATCAAAACGCCGACTCCGTCATGCCGTCGGCGTCGGAACGAAGAGTATGACCACCAATTTTTCTCCCCAAGAACTATAGAGAAAACTGTACATAACTCACAATTTCATTTCCTATGTCACCGTAGCGGCGTTACTGAAAACATTTGTTTGCTAATCTAGCTCTTCAATTTCAACAGAATTACGGTAATCTAATAATTACAAAAATATTTAACTCCCAAAAGAACATAAGACGAAATTTGCTAGCAAACGGGCCTAAGAAGATATATACTTCTAGTGACGTCAAAATTTTATGTGAATACTGCATACTACTAAGGCGGTCACTTGCCGAGGTAGGGTACTGCAGGCGGTCGGAATAAGACACGTTTAACAGCCGGCAGCCTCGCGTGACTGAAATATACTGGGATTGTGCCGCAAGGTAATCAATATTACGACCCACGCAGGCATTTCTTTCCGATCGAAAACACATTACAGAACTTCGGTTAACCTCTTATGTCATAGGTCACCTACCACAGAATAAGCATTCAGTCTAGCGCGTCCTACAATTCTGTTAGGAACACCAGTACTGAGGCATTTTATTGTGCTCATCGTACATCACCGTTTTATTTATTAAAACCGGACTATGGTACCAATCAGAATTGCGACTGTGGTTATAGCTTACTGATACCCGCCGCGACAACCTCAGCAATTTCGCGTCATCAGGCGGGTGACAAGAATTCACGTGATCTACGCCTGAAGGACGTCTTCAAACTACAACGGTTTACGAAATGTAGTACTAGAGTTGAGTGAAGTTGCCAAATCTGCTAGTTTATTCATCTACGGTGTGAAGACCAACGAGTGAGAATGCCCTGTATGCCCGACTACACAGGACACGGGAATTGGAGCCTTCCACAATACATGTGGCTTTGCACCAAATTCCGGGAAAATTAGGTTTACGATTGAGATAAGCGTTGGGGTTAAACTTGGGTAGGGGCCAAGATCAAAGTTGGGGGTTAGGGTCACAACCATGTTAAAGCTTGAGTTCGAGTTAACTGTATGACTTAGGTTGAGGATAGGGCTGGGGTTAAGAGGAAGGTTACATATTAGTTTTATGTTAGAGTTGAGATATGGGGATGTATCGCAAATCCACTTATCCTAAGTGTGAGGGGAAGTCCTTTTTCCCGTGTCCCATTTAGGCGGCCATATAAGGCATCCTTATTGACCAAAGTATTATTTAAGAGTATGTCTATCCCGGAAAGAATAATACCAGCCTGTCGATGTTGGCAGTGCAACTTTCAAAATTAGACTGTGGAGAAGTGCACGGAGTGGATGGGGTCGCAAACGTTTTTGACCCAGGGAGAAAGTTAAACGCATATGAGATGACGGGAATGTGTGAAATTGGTGCCTGTAGACCCATTGACATCAACTGATGAGCAGACACCAGCAGATTACTCTTGTCTGGCCTAAGTAAGTCTAACATCCAATCAGAATTTTTGCCAGAGGAGCTGACAGGCTAGGTCATTCGTTAATGACAAACCTGAATGAAAGTTAAAACGTAGTGACGGGAGGCAGCAAAACTGACCTGTGGAGTAGTGACCATAATGCAACCTTTTAGACGATCTTGCGCGAATTCTCTAACCTTCTCCACGACAGCTAAGTGTTCATCCGAAGTTCCTGGTGGGGTATCAATTATCAGGGCATCTAGTGACCCCCAGCACACACTGCCCAGAAGCTGGTCGATCATGGAGGTCTTTTTGGGGCCTCGCCAGACGACGGCAGAGTTCTTGTCGGGCAAGAGAAAGCCGATGGACATAACTAGGAGGTTATTTGTGGTTATATCAGCAATGATCGGGAGCCAGCCTGTTGAGCACTGGTCAACCTACAATAAAAGGGTAATTTATATGAACAGGAACTCCGACAGAACCAATTGGTC